TGTTCATATTATTGCTAATTGTGAAATATTAATTAATAAATATTCATTCTTGCAATGCTACTGACGAATATGTGTTACCATGATAGAACTCGTTCGTTAGAACTTAATGCTTGTGCATTAACAAAGAATATGTTGCACATAAGTTTTGGCATTATACAACGAAGAGTGAGAAGTGTTGAATATTAATTACAACATAACGATTTATATAACGAGAATATTAACTGATTGAATAGCGATTGCTTGCAACGCTATTTCTTGCTGTGACTGGAGCAAGATTTGTGTTCCTTTACATTTGCTGCGTAGAGTTACCATTCCAAGTATTATTCTCATCATTATCATCCCCACCTGAATGTAGTCTGTGTATATTCCCTTGCGCTCTGATTGTTGTCCCTCCTGAATTACCCAAGTATCTTCTAAACAAACTGTATCATGAATAGAATGTTTATTTAATACATGAAATAAACATTAAATTAATTACATTAAAAATTACATATTTTATGTACAATTTTATTAAATATATTCAAGTATAATGCAAATGCATGTAGCTTTATAATCTTGTGTATACAAGACTGTTTAATGTATTTATTGGAAAAAAACCTACCCCGAAGATTGAACTACATTTCGCCGATTTGATGAAATAGCTCTGTCGGGGTTGTTTGTCGTTTCTACGGAATCATTGTTGGAATCGCCACTTTGATTCGTGTCTCCGTTAGTGCCGGAAAAGTAACCTACTATATAATTGTAAATACGAATAACGGGTGTGAAAAAGGACCATATGAAGCGTGAGAAGAATCCAACATCTTGTGTCGAAGTTACCACTGCCGTGGTATTAGACTGGAAAAAATATAAGAAAATATAAAGTGAATTATGAATATAATTAAAAGTATAATACTTTATAAAAGAAAACCTTATTCTATTTACATTTTTCAAAGGAAGAATTAAAATAACGGCGGTTGGGACCAATTCTAGTTCCAACAGAGTTTTGTCATTTTCCTCATTAGTCAATTCTCTTCTAGGAAATGATGTCGACATGGCGAAGTGTCGGAAGGGTAGATTAATGTTTTCGGTAACATAGGTGCGTAAGGTGCGCAAAGTATCAGATGGTTCAAATTGTCCTGTATGAGAATTACCAGACGGTAATCTAAATTGAATTCTGGTCACTGTGGCGTTACTAGGTGTTGGATTATATTTCGGTTGTTCTTGACTCTGTTGTTGTTGTACTTGTTGCTGTTAAAGAAAATAAAAGAAACTTTTAGTGATACTAATTAAATATAAAAATCATTAATGATTAAAATGATTAAAATAATATTAACCTGCAGAGCAAGTTCCTTTTGTTTTCGTTCTAATTTATCTTGAACGATTTGTTGTCTGACTTTTTCACGAGCTGCAGCCTCTGCAGCCTTTTCTCGCCTCCTTTCTTCATTTGCTTGCTTTATTTCTAATTCTTGCTGCGTTTGCCGCAATTTCTGCACATCGCGTCCCATCTTGCGTCGTTCAATTTCACGTTCCCGTTCCTTTTTCTGCTCCTCCTCTAGTCGTTGTTTTCGTTGGAGCTCAATTAACTGTCGTGCTCTTTCAAGCTTTTCCTAGAAATGTGAGACAGACATAATTTGTCACATTCAAAAATTATATAGATATTCTTGATAAATAAATTCACATACCTCAGATGTCAATTCCTTATTTTGATTATCATGTTTAGTTTCAACACTTATTTTTGCTGATGCTTCATTATTGTCTTGATTTTCTGTGTTTAATGAAGTTGCAGATTTTGCGTCTTCCATGACATAATTTTCGTTATTTGAACTATCTATTGGTGTAACAGACTGTGTTGTACCAGAAGTCAAATCTGCATTTGGATTGGAATTATTATCATTTATGTTAGATGTAGTCTCAACGGCATTGTTATTACTGCTGCTACTGGTAGCTGTAGCTTTTTGTTCTGCGTCAATCAAGTTTAATGAAGATTGTTTATTACTCTTCCCTGCCTTCGTAAGTACATTATCAATTTTGGATGCTAATTCAGATGCAGTTGCGCTACCAGCAATAATTTCCAGTGGTGTACCATTTTCTCCAATGAAAAATAAGGACGGTACTGGTACTAATTGATCTGATTGTTAAATTTAAGGAAAATTTTAAAATATGATAAACATAATAATACTAAAAGCAGCAAGATAAATGTTATATAATAAAATAAATTAATATTAAAACAGAAAGATATTAATGTTATATAAGAGGATACAAATTTGCGCAAAAAATCTATAAGTTTCGGATCCACTCTCTAATCTTATAGCTATAAAATGCTCTCTTTCCAGGCGGGAGGAGACTTCTGTAGCATCAATTGCTTGAGCAAGTTGCAATGATGTGTCATCTTTGCCTAAAAGAACATTATACTAATATCTTTATAATTGTCTAAATTTATGTAAATATGGCTGATTTTTTAAGTATCCATTTTATGTACAATACTTCACATATTTCATGTATTTGTACATGCACACACACACGCGCGCGCGTGCGTGTGTGTATTAGATTAAAAAGATAATTTCGAGTCGGATCAAACTAGAATCAAATCTAACCTAGAATTTGGATTACATACCTTCTACGAATACAACGAAAACTGCCTTCCTCGATTTTGACGTCGCAACCGCCTCGTTAATACTTCCCGCAAACCACTTCATTATTTGAGAATATTCGTATATTTCGTTTCCTTGTATTCTCTAACAATATTGATGACGTAACGAAGAAACTGCGGAGTGAAACACTAGAAATTTTTCGATGGATTTGACGTTTCAAATTCGGAGTAAGGTTCAGATAGGTGTACGATGAGTCGTCACTCTCTACTGTTACCTGATGGCGCGCGCGCGACAATGATCTACCCCCACCTATCACTAAATTAAATGTCTTTTTTTATTGTAAATTAATAGAATATTTATTTACCAATTAGCATATTTTAATATCTCATTTGATGAATATATGTCAATATAAAAAACAAAGTGGTTTATTTATTTTGGATAATTGGACATATAATATCATTGGTGGACTAATCTGGACTATTTTTTAGACAGAGTTAATAAAATCTTATTTGTTATAAACTTTTTATTTGTTATAAATCTAACATGAAGGGTCCTAAAAATGTTCGCAGAACTGGATCTTATAGCTTTTGAATGTCTTAAGGAATTACAAAATATGCTGTGTGGAGATGTATAATAATAATAATTTTTATTGGACATAATCATCAGGGCTGAATTAAGGCTGCGGTCCACTTGACGTTACAAACGCTTCGAAGCGTTTGAGCGACCAATCAGAACAATGAATTTTACGAATTGACTAATCAAAGAATACTTCGAAGCATTTGTAGCGTCAAGTGGACCGCAACCTAAAGGCCATTCTACATTGGTCGTATCGTAGACGTCGCGAGTCACAAGTTTGTTGCTTGAGCCAATCCGATGCTTCAATTTCAAAGTCGTATGATGCTTACGACGCTTCCGACGCTACGATACGACCGATGTAGAATGGCCTTAAGACTCATGCCACCTTTATTCAATTAAATCGTTGTCACACTTAAGCCTGCGGCACACGATGCTTGTTTTCCTGCTGGATTCCTAGCTGGATTAGAATCTTGTCATCGTATTGGCTGTGATACTGACAGTGTCTGCATCGTAGCCAATACGGTGACAAGAATTTATTCTAGCTAGCAATCCAGCAAGAAAACAAGCATCGTGTGCCGGCTTTATTCAAGTCTGTCCAATTTTAGCTCATCAACATTTTGCTTATCAACACTTTGTAATCCCTGAAATCTTACTCATTGAATTTTTTGGGTCAATGGCTTTATGTTTTGGATCAAGGACCCTATTCTTGAGAACATACGAAAATGACGACAGTTTCTCGACTGTAATTGGTCGATTGTATATGGAATTACTATTTTCGATATTTGTTATTTGAGTATATAAGATGCGCTTGCACCAATGTTACTTTGACTTTAACCGAGATTTAAAACTCTCTCTGCCTCGTTTTAAAACTGAAAAGAGACAGGGACAAAAAGAGTTTTAAGTCTCGCTTAAAATTAAAGTAACGTTGGTGCAACCGAGCCTAATGCTGGATTCACACTGCATCCGATTTTCGTCGTACAA